GAAGCGTCCATTTTTTTTTTTTTAGGATTTATTTCTGGGATTTTTGTGCATTTATTTGAGAGATAGGACAGTGGACAGAGTCAGAAACCAGGGACAGAGAGAGTGGGGAATGACTTGCAGGGAAAGGAGCCACAGGCCGGATTCAAACCTGGGCCGCCCGCTTGGAAGACTACAGCCTCCGTACATGGGGCGCACGCTCTAACCACTGCGCCACCAGCGCCCCTAGCTAGGTCATTTTTAAACATGATTATCTTCGGGAGCTTGGTGTCTTTGACTAAAAGATTTCTTGAGAGCAAAAGAACATTTTGACAGTAATGAGTAAGGGGTCAAAGGTCAAATCCTCATCATCAGGAGAATATTAATGCTGCTGCTTCATGGATCCCTCCTCTCACTTGATACTTAAACCTGCAAACAGCTCTCCAGTAACTCCAGCCTGATGGTAGAAAACAGAACCAGACACCAACGCCGACCATCGTCCTGTGTGTCCCGAGAGGACGTGTAAAGACTCTGAGCGGGACATCGGGGCGGACGACATGTTGGACCAAATAAATAAAACTCCTGCGTCAGACGTCAAACTTCTCTGATGTTCTGTTCATCTTTTTTCTCTTATTATTCATGTCGGCCATGTTGGGGTTTGGATCTAAATCCTGTTTGGGACGCGTTCTGACCCTGAGAAAGTTTCTCATTTTCTTTCTATAAGCTGGACTGAGAACAGAATGTGTATCTGCTGTGGATGTACTTTGAGTGGTGACGCTCAAAGCGCCCCCCCCCCCCCCGCTGACAGAGTTTCATGAAACAATCCTCTGAGGTGAGGGGGGATGAATGTTCACCCGCAGACTCTCGGGCTGATTGTTTGCTGCACATATTGATCCCCCTCCTCTGTACACTATCAGCCGGTCCAGACACGACTTAATCTGCTCTTCCCATTAACACATGCTAATGGGGGAGCCGCTTTCTATCTGCTCGCCTGCCAGCGCTCCCTCACATGAGGCGTCAGCGGGGCCGTCCGGGCAGCGTGCAGCCGGCCTCGCTGACGCCTCATGTGAGGGAGCGAGAGAGAGAGGCAGAGAGGTCGAGCTGCTGTGGGCACATTTGAGCTCTCTGTGTGCGCGCGTGTGTGTGTGTGTGTGTGTGTGTGTGTGTGTGTGTGGTGTGTGTGTGTGTGTGTGTGTCTGTGTGTGTGTGTGTGTGTGTGTTTGGGGATTGAAAGTCTTGGAAAGCGCGGCTGAAAGATTACAGCAGTGTGCCATGACATGCTGATGTCAGATTTATGGGATTTTGTTCTGTAGCTCAAAGCTGCAGAAAGTAATAAATAACAGAACTACAGACAGCTGCAGTGAGCGACGTCTGGATGAAGAAACACAACCAGTTGTGATGAAGTTACATGTGAAGGTTTTTAACATTCATCACCTGAACACAGATATCATCATCGTAGATTATTTATCATAACAAAACGCACTTCTGCTCTGTGATTGGACGAAAAAACACTTTTTTTTCCAAATGTGTGCCGGTTAAAAAAAACATTCAGTAAACCAGCAGTCAGCTGTATGTGTGTGTGTGTGTGTGTGTGTGTGTGTGTGTGTGAGCGTGTGTATGTGTGTGTGTGAGCATATGTATGTGTGTGTGTGTGTGTGTGTGTGTATGTGAGCATGTGTATGTGTGTGTGCGTGTGTATGTGTGTCCGTGTCCGTGTGTGTGTGTGTGTATGTGAGCATGTGTATGTGTGTGTGTGTGTGTGTGTGTATATGAGCATGTGTGTGTATATGAGCATGTGTATGTGTGTGTGTGTGTGTGTGTGTGTGTATGTGTGCGTGTGTGTGTGTGTATGTGAGCATGTGTCTGTGTGTACGTGTGTGTGTGTGTGTGTGTGTGTGCGCGTGTATGTGTGTCCGTGTCCATGTGTGTGTGTGTGTATGTGAGCATGTGTATGTGTGTGTGTGTGTGTGTGTGTATATGAGCATGTGTGTGTGTATATGAGCATGTGTGTGTGTGTATATGAGAATGTGTGTGTGTGTGTGTGTGTGTATATGAGCATGTGTATGTGTGTGTGTGTGTGTGTGTGTGTATATGAGCATGTGTGTGTGTGTGTGTGTATATGAGCATGTGTATGTGTATGTGTGTGGTGTGTGTGTGTGTGTGTATATGAGCATGTGTATGTGTGTGTGTGTGTGTGTGTGTGTGTGTGTATATGAGCATGTGTGTGTGTGTGTGTATATGAGCATGTGTATGTGTATGTGTGTGTGTGTGTGTGTGTGTGTATATGAGCATGTGTATGTGTGTGTGTGTGTGTGTGTGTGTGTGAGACACTTACCGTGGCGTGGAGGCGTCCTCTTTTATTCATGGACAGGAATCTGTTGCTGTAGACCCCTTTGATGCCGATGACCCCCTGAGAGACGGCGAAGAGCTCCAGGACACCTGTGAGGACAAACAAGACGACCACCAGTATTTTTACTCCTCCTGTCACTTTGTGCGTCTCACTCCTCCACAGCTCACAGAGCAGCGACAACTCAGGATCCGATCTGACCCACAAATCTATTTGAGTAAAGTTCCTCACTGTAGTTTTTATTTATGTCTTCTCCTTTCACTTCAGCAAACAGGAAGTACCTTTACGTTAACTATTGAGACTGACGTCGACTGAACTGAATGACAGACGTTACCTGAAGAGAGCTGATTAAAGTTGTGTGAAGAGAAACAGATGGTGAGGGAAACTGTTTGGATGATGTGATGATACGTTTACATGCTGAAACGTTGCCAATGTTTTTGTGCAATTTCCACAGGAGTTGTAGGATGTTTATCAACCTGAAAGGTCGATCCACTCTGCAGAGATTTAAAAGAAACCCAGCACATCTCCATGGTGAACCCCTCTCTTTATGATTCCTGATTTATTGCACTGTCATTATGTTTTCTCTTTTTTGCTGCTACGTCCACGTCTGTTATATTCACTGAATTGTATCCACTCCTAAACTCACCTGCTGCGCTGTCATTGGCTGGAGGAAACACACCAGCTCCGCCCAGAAACATCCCGAGTCAAACACAACAAAGCAGAACAGTAAAATCCAGTCAGAGGACAGAGTCTCTGCTGACACAGTCACCACCACACATGTACGGAGGCCCAGAAGGGACAATGGAGCAGCTTCACTTTAGGAGAAGTCTGTATTTTATTTTGAAGGAGAAGACTGTCTTTTTTATTTTGAAGGTGCCTACATAAGTCTGTTTTATTTTGAAGATCCCTACATAAGTCTGTATTTTATTTTGAAGGCCCCTACATAAGTCTGTGTTTTATTTTGAAGGTCCCTACATAAGTCTGTATTTCATTTTGAAGGTCCCTTCATAAGTCTGTATTTTTTAATTTGAAGGTCCCTACATAAGTCTGTATTTTATTTTGAAGGTCCCTTCATAAGTCTGTATTTTTTAATTTGAAGGTCCCTACATAAGTCTTAATTTAATTTTGAAGGTCCCTTCATAAGTCTGTATTTTTTAATTTGAAGGTCCCTACATAAGTCTTAATTTAATTTTGAAGGTCCCTACATAAGTCTTAATTTAATTTGAAGGTCCCTACATAAGTCTTAATTTAATTTTGAAGGTCCCTACATAAGTCTGTGTTTTTTTAATTTGAAGGTCCCTACATAAGTCTGTGTTTTTATTTTGAAGGTCCCTTCATAAGTCTGTATTTTTTAATTTGAAGGTCCCTACATAAGTCTTAATTTAATTTTGAAGGTCCCTACATAAGTCTTAATTTAATTTGAAGGTCCCTACATAAGTCTTAATTTAATTTTGAAGGTCCCTACATAAGTCTGCGTTTTTTTAATTTGAAGGTCCCTACATAAGTCTGTGTTTTTTTATTTTGAAGGCCCCTTCATATGTCTGTATTTTATTTTGAAGGCCCCTACATAAGTCTTCATTTTATTTTGAAGGTCCCTACATAAGTCTGTGTTTTTTAATTTGAAGGTCCCTACATAAGTCTGTATTTATTTTGAAGGTCCCTACATAGTCTGTATTTTAATTTGAAGGTCCCTACATAAGTCTGTATTTATTTTGAAGGTCCCTACATAAGTCTGTATTTATTTTGAAGGTCCCTACATGAGTCTTCATTTCATTTTGAAGGCCCCTACATAAGTCTGTGTTTTTTAATTTGAAGGTCCCTTCATAAGTCTCACCACACATGTATGGAGACCCCTCTGTCCTCTCTAAATCCTCCCTCTCCTCCAAATATGGTGACTTCTGGCTCCAAACAGAGATCTGGTTTTAGAAATGTTTCTAAAGAAGAAACTCTTAATGACGTCTACAATCATCCCTGTTTCCTGTGAATCATGAAACATAAAAGTTATTCTTCACATTAAGTCTCCCGCTCTGCTGCTCGTCTCGCCGCTGTCACACAGGAAGTGAGAGCGCATGGCTGTCCAGTTGAAGTCCATGTAACCTGACATCTCTTCTGAAGGGCGCTCTGAGGCGGAGGAGCACTTTGACGCCGTGTCGTCACCGGAGGATCTGACTCAGAACTCTGATTCATGACTTCAGACTGCTCGACCGGATGAGAATCAACGACGCTCACACATTCAGGACCGTGAAGCTCGGCGTGTAACCTCTGCAGCGTTTAAAACCGTATTTAGAACGTTTCCAGTCTGAAGTCACATGTCGCTGGACTGTTGTTACAAATCAGTGTTTCTCGTTTCCTCGTGTGTATTCTGTTCATATTATTTACAAGTTTAGTTTTTTAGTGTTTCCTGTTTTATTTTGAAGTTTTTGCCGCTGTGCATCCTGTCCAGTGTTTCTTGTTTCCCTCCAGTTTTGATCGCCCTCAGTGTCCTCACCTGTGTCCAATCAAAAAATACATCAGAGCGCTGCGTGAGTCCTCATCGAGCGGAACAGCTAACAGGAGCTCTCTGGTGGAATGAAGCGTCCTCTGAAGAGTCCAGAAAGGAAACACAAACTGGAATCCTCTGTTTCTTTAAGGATGACGAGTATCTAAAAGTGATCCCCAGAGGGATAACCACAAAAACTACAAGCAATTAAAAAGAAGGGGGAAAATAACTAACATAGTTACAAGTCAAAAAATAGGCTCTCTTTTCTCAAACTTCACCAAAAGAGAAGAACAACCAAACTCTACAGCTGAGACCAGCAGACCAGCAGACCAGCAGACCAGCAGACCAGCAGACCAGCAGACCAGCAGACCAGCAGACCCGGGTCAAACAGGAACATAAAGGTCAGAAATCTCCAGCTCCAACAAATACTCATAGAGCTGCTGGAAACCAAAAACAAGTCAAATGGTGCTCATGCAGAATGACAAACTTTAAAACACACTGAGAGAACCTTCACTCTCTCTGATGGTGTCAGCACACAGCGGACACACACACACACACACACACACACACACACACACACACACACAGTTTCATTATATTTGTGTGTTTAAGTCATCAGCTGTTAAATCTTCATTTTCACTCTGTAGCATGTTTCCTTACTGTTTCAACATTTCTTTATTGTAAACGTTTGTTTAAAATGAAGTGTCAGACTTTTTGCTTCTGAAACCTTCTTGGACCTTTGAGTTAGATCTGAAAACACCTCAAATAAACCCACACACTTCCTGTGTCAACACTCTGTACACGCAGAGGAACTGAGTGAAGGTTTTAATCCTCAATCATCTCTTTGTGTCCGACTTTGGTTTCACAAAATAGAATCTAAGTCATTTCATTATCTGTTTACTTTTGTTACTTATGTTGTGTTTCATGCAGATCCTGTGTGTTATCTGTTGCTTAGTTGTGTGTGTGCATGTGTTTGTGTTGATTCTGTTTGAATGTTCTTTGTTTTAATTCGTGGAAGCAGCTGAATGTTTGCAGCACTTTGAATCCAAGACAAATTTCCATAAGGGGACATATCATGTTTCAAGTATTCATGATTTTACATTTCAAAGGTAACAAGTTTGAATATTATTGTGACGGGGTTCTCTTTCAAACACCCCAAAAATTGTAAAAAAACACAAAGGCGTATCGCCGAAGACTGCTATTGGTGGTTTTTATTTCTAGCCGGCGTCCCAAGGTGCAGGGACAGAGATTTACAGAAACAAATGCAAAAACAGGAAAAATAGTATTTACACTATTTACAGACGAGACTTTAAAAAACAAAAGTTCCACATGAACGAGCAAAACACAAAGTCTCCAGCAGATGTCGCCTCCTCTGTAACCCCGAATAGCCTGATTGAAAGTAGCAAGCCGCCATCTTTTAAACCAGAAGCCCCTCCCACTGGGCGTCATGAATGACTTTTTAAACAAAACACATTTTCTCATGAATTAAAGTTTTTTAACCTTTCACACTTATGTGACAGACATTTATTAAATGAAGCTTTTTAATCAATGTTTTATTAATACCACAGAAACGTATCTGTGGAGAGACTTTAAAAACAAACATTTAATTAACTCAGTCAAGTCACGTGACCACTTTACTATTTACATTACGGAGATGGGCCGCCTGTGTTTGGAACACAAACGGGACACAGTGGAGTGCAAACCTAACGACCCACATAGAGCTCTCAAGTGTGCAGCATGGGAGGGAAAGGAGGATGATGGTGTGATATAGGAGCGCTGGCAGAGGGGAAAGTTCGGCGTGTGCGTGTTGGTGTGTGTCTGTGTGTGTCAGTGTGTGTTGGTGTGTGTGCTGACTGCGTCACAATTATTATAAACAAAATTAATCAGAGTCAAATTGTTCGTGGTTTTACTTTTTGCAGTGTGTGATGCAGCAGCCTGTGATAACAATGGTTTAGTTTGGGAATCCGATACATCCTCCCTGCTGCACCTGTTACTTCCACGAATAGTCTACCTGCAAACATACACACACACACACACACACACACACACACACACACACACACACACAGCTCGTGTCCGTATGTATGATTATTGTTTGAACTTTTAGTAAAGATAGCTCCAGCTGCAGACAGGAGAGGATCCCACTGCGCACTCTCAGCGGGACGCGCAGGACTCATGTGCGCGTCAGACGTTTTATAATTTAGTGTGAAGCTGCTCCGTGCACCGGGACACCGGGGAGAGAGAGAGAGAGAGAGAGGGAGAGAGAGAGAGAGAGACACTTACTCAGCTGGTTGGCCTCATGGCTGCCGTTCACTCTGCCGTCGGGATGAATCTGGAGGTGGAAGCCGATGCCGACCCGACAGTAGAGCCTGCACGTCCTGCGTCCCGGCCGGATCTCCTCCTCCAGAAGTTGTCGCTCCACAGAGACGCGCTGAGCTCCGGCGGCGGCAAAAAGCAAGTGAGCGACGGTCAGAAGGTAGAGAGGAACATTCATTCTTCCAGAGAGGAGACTGTCGCTACGCTGCGTCCAGCATGTTGGCGTCTGTCCTCTGGTCCGGGCATTACCCCGGCTGGTTCTGCTGGCACGGGGATATTTATAACGCCAGTGATCTCACTGCTGCTCGGTGCATGCCTCAGCTCTGCAGGACGCTCTTTCATCCAGATTTTGTCGCCGAGATGCCACTCCTGCTCAGCACCGATCCACAGCAGCGGGGCGTGAAGGAAGCGCGACTCACACCGCACATTTCCCACAGAATCGTCCGCTCCAGGACGCACCGAGCGCGGCATTTTACGCACAGGGAGGCATCGTTTGACCAGCTCGAGGACACGATTGATTCTTTACTAAAAAAATCATGAAATAAAAACCCTTTCTTGGCTGTGTTTATTTCCATATATGGAGAGTTAAACTGAAAAAGTGAAACTTAAAGCGCAGCAGGGAGGAGTGAGGGTGCAGACAGCAGAGATCATCAGGTGGAGCAGCAGAGTTTATACACCGGGACACTCTGCAGCTGTATTTATAGGCTTTACCTTATCATCTGATACGTCCTCATGCTCTGACAGAGACACTCTGACAGGCTGCAGAGTGTTCTGGTCTGTGTGCAGGGCCAAAGGAAAAGTAACTATTTGAATAACTGCATAAAAATAACGTAGAAAGAAACTGCTTTTAAACACGTCACTGCTTTTTTCTGTTTCTTCAAATATTTCTTAGGTTTTCATTGCCCCTGAAGATACTACACCCTGCTACCTGATGATTTGTTTCCCCTTAAAACCCACAGAAATGTGTAAATAAGTTTGTAGAGGCAGTTCAGGTGGGTAAAGGAGAGAAATATATCCATCAAAATAGCTCAAGAGCTCCAGCACACTTTCTAAATTTCACAAGATTTTGCTATTGAAATGTTGCCAACATGTTTGTGCAACTGAGCGAGTGTGCTGGAGCTTTCCTTTTTTGATCATTGAAAACAAAAAAAGTTTCCATATTGGGTGTCATGTATTTTTGTTGCTGTGCATAAAAAGCATCGTTATCGTTTGATTTTTTATTAGAATTATAAAAAAGATTCATATTCTGGTATCACAACGACCCTTCTGTGATGTTTCATTCTTACTGCACTGAGACAAACATGTTTGTCAAAATGTCAAATTATTCAGAGTAGCATTTAACCCTTCTGTGTGTTTCATTGATTGTTGATGTGAAAAAACTAAACTAAAAGGAAACACGTTTAGGATTCTGTTTTGTCCGTGTATGAAGGAAAATGTTCGAGAAACAGAATGTGGCGTTCTGTCCACCGCTGATCTCATGAATAATAAAACTGTAACCTTCTTGAGTGAAGCTGCAGTTTACATCCTGCACATCAGCGCACATGCCCTGCGCCCAGGTGTGCCCTCTAGAGGTAAACTCCAGTAACACACATCATGCATAGTCAACTTAACTCAAGGTTAATAAGACAGAACCATAAAAAAACAGCCCAGAGGTTAAAGGTCAGGGACTGAATCAGCTGATGTGACACCTAGCCAACAGCTAGCATCCCCTGTCACTCAAAGAAGCCACGCCCCCTAATTCTACATCCCTTTAAGCCTTAATATAATGTAAACAAGTGAGTTGTATAAACATTCAGCCCAAACAGTTGAAGAGAGAAATGAGCTCTAGAGACCCAAACTGTTTTTGTACCAGGATGTAAACATGTTTATTTTAACATAGAGCTCTATGGGGACTGACTCACTGCAGGAGACAGACTCTAGTGGACACTGAAGGAACTGCAGCTGTAAAGTTAGACATTTTAACATGGGGCTCTATGGGGACTGACTCACTGCAGGAGACAGACTCTAGTGGACACTGGAGGAACTGCAGCTGTAAAGTTAGACATTTTAACATAGAGCTCTATGGGGACTGACTCACTGCAGGAGACAGACTCTAGTGGACACTGAAGGAACTGCAGCTGTAAAGTTAGACATTTTAACATAGAGCTCTATGGGGACTGACTCACTGCAGGAGACAGACTCTAGTGGACACTGGAGGAACTGCAGCTGTAAAGTTAGACATTTTAACATGGAGCTCTATGGGGACTGACTCACTGCAGGAGACAGACTCTAGTGGACACTGAAGGAACTGCAGCTGTAAAGTTAGACATTTTAACATGGGGCTCTATGGGGACTGACTCACTGCAGGAGACAGACTCTAGTGGACACTGGAGGAACTGCAGCTGTAAAGTTAGACATTTTAACATGGGGCTCTATGGGGACTGACTCACTGCAGGAGACAGACTCTAGTGGACACTGGAGGAACTGCAGTTTTTTGCATTTGGTCAAAGAGTGTTGCCTTTATTTCTCAGCCCTGCAGGTTGTCCCTTGTTTTAAATTTTTCCTCTAAAAGATTATTTTCTCATTTCTTGATTCTGAAGCTCACACACTGGCACAGTTTAAAACCTGCTCACACTGGCTTCACTTACTCAACAACAAAGTCATCACACAGCTGGTAGAGGTTCTCAATCAGGAGTTATAAAACCGTCTGAGCCCAGAGACACGGTGATCCAATGACCTGCAAAGACTTCCTTTAAACTTCTTTATGTTTCTGTAACCTCTGAATGTTGGTCGGTGTTCTGTGTTCATCGTGTTAATTTTCTATCTCTGCGTGCGTCGGTTGTAATCCGTCCCTCATGGTGTGTTCGGGGTCGGCTCTGTTTGAATTGATGAGCTCGCGCCCGGCGGTGGATTACGTCCTGTTAGGGGTCTAATTGTCTGTGGCACGGCGAGCCCACATCAGCTCCTTATGTAAACACGAGTTCAGTGTTTAGTCCCTCTGTTCTAATGGGCCCTCATTCCTGTGAGGCCGCGCCGCTAACAGTGAGCTAATCCTCCTGAGGCGTATAAACATGGATGATCCTGATTGATACCCCGCCCCGTTGATCCCGGCTTTTAACAGCTTCTTAGTCTAAGCAAACAGCAGACAGACCCGAAACCGTCTGAGCCCAGAGACGGTGATCAATCTGAGGGTCGAGGGCATCTGAGCGGCCAGGGGGACGCGGTTATCTACATGATGAACATGCTCCTCTAATGAGCCCTCAGTGCTGAGCGTGTGATCCTGAATGTGAAGAGGTAAACAACAGTCGGACAATGAGGACCTCATGCAGCTCTTTTTTTAACTTTGGAGAATATTCAACAGCATTCAAATGAAATCGAATCATAACAGACAAAGAAACGGTGTTTGTGGTGCTCTGCAGATGTGCATGAAGTCTGAACTCCACAAATTAATATTACAGAATTTACACTTTGAGATTCATCCAACATATTAAAAAATAGCTGAAATTAAAACAATCAGAAGAAAACCGAACTACGAGAAGATTCAGAGAACCCGTCATGCTCATTTCAGAAAAGTTTAGAGTCTCTAAGTGAAGGAGACGTAATGAGCATGTGCGAGAAGTTTTGTGAATTTTCCCAGTTTACACGTCGACAGAGACGGAGATCTCTGTAGGGACTTGGATTGGGAACTGGAGGGTCGCATGCAGGTTCAAGTCCAGTATGCAAGCATGTCCTCAAATACCAGATTTTAAAAACAGAATTAGTATGTACACCATTTTTTTTTTTTTAACTTTGGAGGCATGTTTTCAGGCACCTAAAACGCCATTATCATGTAAACAAAGCAACCTGTCATGTAGACAAGACCTAAAACACAAGAGAGGGACCAGGTACCCTCTGACCGTCGCTCACTTGCTTTTTGCCGCTGCCGGAACTCAGCGCATCTCTGTGGAGCGACAACTTCTGGAGGAGGAGATCCACCCGGCCGGGACGCAGGACGTGCAGGCTCTACTGTCGGGTCGGCATCGGCTTCTTTCTACTTGTCTGTAACAGGACATGAGCAGGAGAGTAGAGTGGGTGTTCTGAGGTTTTAAGTCATGTTGAATTCCTAAAGTCTGGTTACAAAAAAGGAGGAAAGCAGTTTTCATAAAGTAAAGAAAACTGAACATCAGAACTTAAAGGGTCACATGTTCTACAAAATCCTCTTCACCATGTTCCTCTAACTCTAACATGTGTCTCTAGTCAGTCTACAAACCCCCCGATGATGAGAGAAGTCCATCCTCTCCGTCTTCTGTCTGCTCCACTTTTCAGAAAATGTGTGCTCAAACAGGCCATTTGGAGATTTTCCCTTCATGACATCACAATGGCAGTAGCCCCTCCCCCAGGTGGGTGACACTCCCACAGCTAGGTGTTTGTTCTGCCCTCTGAGTCTGCCTTCTCACCGTAAACAATAGAACATGGAGCGAGAAAGCCCAAGCCCTTCTAGAGAGGGTCAGACACAGCTCATTTACATATTTAAAGGTACAGACACAGAAACAGCCTGTTCTGAGCAGGGCTGAAATAGAGGGAGTTTATAGACATGATCAAATACAGGATCAGAGTGGATTTACAACAAGAAACTTCACACACATGTTTTGAGGAGCTCTGAGACTTATTTAAACTGAAGAGGAGGAGGAGAATATGTCACCTTTAATGTTTTCTTTGTGCAGACAGATTTAGATCATACGTCCTGTAAACTGGTCTCTGACTATGTGCTGGTTTTGATGGAGACCAGATCAAATAGTTCTTGAAAGTATTCGTCCTGGACGTATGGGGTCAGAGTTAATGAGCTGTGTCTCTGATTGTTCATGGGAGCGATTTACTCGAGTACACACAGTTTGTTTACATTTTTTGTTTGTCCACCGAATATTTTTCAAACGCTCCGCCTGACTCCGCCGAGTCCTGAGAGGTCAGCCAAGTCCCCTTATGTTCATCCACCCTGCTCGTACATGGATTACTATATTGGTGAGAAGGTTTTGTGTAAGAGTCAGGACACACACACACACACGCACACACACACACACACACTCAAAGCTGATTGTAATCATGGCTCCTCCCACCATCAGCAGCTGCTCTGGAGCTTCAACGACATGACTGACAATACAATGAAAAGAATTTAACCTGAAACATAAATCTCACTTTCTCTCATATTACTTTTGAACACTAAGAGTCTGATTCACTCAGAAAGAACTGCACCCGCTTGTATCTCCATGACTCCTCATGTCCTCCCTCAGTCTGCTCCGCCTCACCGTCTAATTCACAAAGGAGCTTGTTTCAGTCAAAGCTCTGATGATATATAAAAAGTGTTGTTGCTAGGTGAAGTTAGCTCTTGTTCAGTGTTCAGTTAGTGCAGCATTTAACCCTTTGTGT